GCTCGGTCTTAATTCTCTATCTGCTCACCCATCTCATCCTGGCCAAACGTCTCTCCGCCAGACTCCCAATAAACAAGGAATTTTACACCGTGGGGTAAAGAAGGCAGCCAGACACGTCTCACAAACTATGGCATTTATTTCCAACAGAGGCATATTTCGCTTACATCTGTACAATAAATTACACAAGATCCCTCTGAAGAATCTAATAAATACTTTACAGTTTCCTTATAAGCTTCATGCCCCCTTTGTCTCTCCAAGAGCATTTGATTTTTTGCAAAGATCCATAAAACTTTACAACCCATATACAACTTGGAAAATACTTATTGAAACCATCTTAAAAATGTTTCGAATATGAGCACAAGCTATTTGATACAAAGCTGACATTCCAAAAAAAAGTATTTTAAAACGGAACAAGGGTTAAAAAAAAGAAAAAAAACACACCCACACACTTAATGAAACTTTCACACAATGACAACAAATAAACAACATGCATTTACACTGGGGGATGTACACAAAACTACAGTAAAACGGTAAAAGTCCAGACAGAAAAGTTCAACATATTAACAGTGTGCAAGATATTAAATAGTTTGACTTGAAACACACTTCTCAATATACAAACGTATTACAAAGGTATACGATTACAGACGGGTGCCAAAGAGAACAGGTCATCGGGTTCTCTCCCAAGAAGTCCATGAGAAGGATACATTTATACGTACACATATCATAAGTGCGTGTTTACCGTTATGTAAGTTGCCTGGATAATATACAGTATATATAAACCTTAAAGCAAGGTGGATTACTTTATAAAGGGTGGGGCTGACTCCATCAGACCTTACGAGGGTCTGCTTAAAAATAACACTGTCAGTTACGTTAAATTCCAATCGCAAACCCTGGTGAAAGAAGGTAAGTGAAAGACGGTGCAAATCAATGTATACATGAAAGTACGGCGACATTACTGAGAGTTGGTTTTCTGTAGTAGCAGTCCAGAGCCAGTAGATGGCAGCACTCTTCAAGTGTTTGGGATGCACAGTACTCCGAATGAAAAAAAGTAACGGACAGCTTACAGACATTCCCCCAAAATGCCTCCTGCGTCACAGTCAAGTACACGCACATTCTCCCACCTTCACAGAACCATCGGCTGCCTTACCCAGGTTGGGCTTTTTAAGCATTGCACTTAAATTACTGCCATATTAACTATTTGGTATCAATCAGTAGTTGAACACATTTAAATCACAAATAAAATAGCTTTCGAACATTCTTAACACCGCAGTCCACAATCTTTATAAATGTAAACTTCAGAATATTTCTTCTGGTTTTGATTAGAGAAAGAAAATGAAATATTTTATATTGGTACTTTATGATTCCCTTTAACCTACCACGTATTTCAATGATGAGGTCAATGTGTAGTCAATGTTAAGTACTCACAGAAATAACCAAAGTCCTCAGAACACTCATGGTACATTCCCACAATGCCTTTCTGCCAGCTTTCAGGTCACATAGCACAGGGCACCCAAAACAGGAGAGGATGCTGTTGTTTTTGGACCCTGCCTCACTTCGGGCCGGCCCCCACTGCCTAAATAAGGAACACATTTATTTAATACTTAGTGTAGTAACAATTTGTGGCCAACAGGGGCCCTCAGGAGCTGGAGTGGTGGTAAATACCACTACTGGCTAAATATGAACCCACTCAGGATGTACGGCCGGAGTTCCTTATTGTCATTACTGAAATGTTAATAAATGACCACGCTGGTCACATGATCGTCTCATTCTTATCACAAGGTCCTCCTACCTTATGTGTCTACATTCTGTCATCGCTCTGTGCTCACACACACACACACACACACACACACACACACTCTGACATATATGCGTAAAAATGCACACAAAACAATTATTGCTTGAAGAAAATAAATTTTAAGAACCATAACGTTAACAGAAATGCCAAATGTATAGTTAACCCCTCCCACCTCCCCAGCTGATAAAAGTGCACTTCAGTGCAGTGTTTGCTTCCCAAGAAAACAGTTGTCAATAGAGAAACAGAGGAACAGAGCAACAGAGGAACAGACCTCCTCGCCTAGCGGAGACAGTGTTTCCCCCCGTAGTCTTGTGCCTCAGTCATTCATCAGACTCGTCCTGGTCATGGAGTTTGGGGGGGGGCGAGTCTGTCTGTAAGTGCAGAGTGCAAAGCGGGCTCCCCCTGGCATCCTGTCACCTGCACTCCACCGACAGCCCTGGGCCCTGTGGGGAGCCTGTCATGGGCTCCGGCAGAGTCAGCAGGACCGCTGCCGTCAGCGAGCTGGACGAGGGGGACGAGGACGAGGACGAGGACGAGGACGAGGTGGCCACTGCACCTGGGCGGCACAGAGAGAGCTCAGCCTCAGCCTCCATAGCAGCGGACTGGAAGAACGTGCTAAGTCATTATAGATTATTACGATACACTATTGTATGGTACATAACGATGATTAATACCTGTACAGTAGGACATAATCCAAACTTATGCTGGTTTCCCCAAAGATTTGTAACTGCAGCCTTTTCTGTTTAAATCCTGCTTTTACTCCTCATCAGCACAGAAACACTCAGTCGCTCCTTTTTCACTCCAGTTACTTTGTCATTCTTTCCCTTATTTTTTCTTTCATCTCATACTTTTAACTACCTCCTTACTTTCTCTTTCATTCCTTTCTCAGTCTTCCTTTACTTTCTCTTGCCTCACTCACTTTCTCTTTCTTTCTGTGTAATTTTTCTTTCTTTCTCTTTCTAACATTTTCTCTCCTTCTTTGCTTTCTCTTTCGTTCTTCTCATTCATTCTATACTCTTTCCACCCTCACTTTCTTTCTACTTTCTCTTTCTCTCTCTCCTCCTGTATTTTCTTTCCTCCCTACTTTTGTCATTCCACCCTTTCTTCCTCTCCACTCCCTTGCTCTCTTATTCCTACATTCCTCCCTCTCTTACTTTCTTCATTACACTCACATTAGTCCCTTCCTTCCTCACCTTACTCTCATTTCTCCCTTCTTCCCTCACCTTACTATCATTCTTCCCTTCCTTCCTCCCTTATATTCCTCCTTGCTCTCTCTTTCCTTCCTTCCCCTATTTTCTAGCCTCCCTCTCTCATTCCTCCGACTTTCTTGCCTTTCTCTCTCATTCCTTCCTTCCTTCCTCATTCCTCCCTTATTTTCTTCCTTACTCTCATTCCTCACTTCCTCCCTCTCTCATTCCTAACTCCCCCCTACTTTCTAGCCTCTCTCTCTCATTCCTCCCTTCCTTCCTCACTCCTCCCTTACTTATTCCTCCCTTCCTCCCTCCCTTACTTTCTCGCTCCTTCTTCTTGAGCCGCTTCCTCCTCCGGTCTATGGAGGCCACCTCGGACTTCAGGGCCAGGTAGTGGTTCCGGATGTCCTGCAGCTTCTCCTGCAGGAAGGTGATCCTCTCCAGGCTGCTCAACTTCTCCAGCTCGGCTGCGGGGGCACAGGACAGCAGGGGGCGGTGACCCTACGCGGCTAAGGGCACCACTGTGGAGGAGCTTAGCCCCTCCAAGCCCCAAACATGACAACTTCAAAATGCTTATACTATTCATCATTAAGAGATGGGAAGACAAATGACTCATTTAGGAATTGCAGTTACCACACATTTAAATTTTGCATGGCTAAATAAAACTGACAGTGGCAGGAGGTCTGTTTGACACACAGCACACCTAAAACCTAAATATAGTGCATGAAATATTCATCTCTAAACAGGCCACAGCGCCAACCTATGACCGTATCTGAGAGAGAAAGGCGCAGTTAATCACCTCCACCATGTCAAAACACCTGAGTCTTAAATTATAAACATTACCCCTCAATCACAAAATCAGAAAAAAAATAAGAGGGATGTTCAGATTAAATACTTTATATGCAATGAGTGGTAACACTTTACTTACATTCATAATGCATTATAAAGCATTCATAAAGCATTATAAACATGGTTATAAATATTTATAAAAAGGCATAACACATTATAGCTATGTTTATTATGCATTATGAATGCTCCGTGAAGTTCTTATCTATAATGCACTATAGGTATATTCATAATGCAGTACAAAGCATCCTTAATGCTTATACTGACCATTAAAATGCATTTTGAAGGTATCTATAGTGCATTAAAGATGAGAGCTTCATAAAACATTCATAATGCATAATAAACATGGCTATAACGTGTTATGGCTTTTGATGAATATTTATAGCCATGTTTATAATGCTTTATGAATGCATTATTATTTATTATGAATGTGTTCATAAATTACTAAAAACATGGCCTTAAGTGTTATCCAAAAAGTTATATGACTGACAAGTTACAGGTATATTTACAGTCCATTTAGCACCAGTTTGTATCATGCTGAATAGGCCAGTATGGTGCAAGAAGGGAGCAAGGTTGGATATGGCCGGAACACCAGGGGGCGCCAAGCCCACAGTGAGCGGTACAGAGCCACACAGTGCACAGCACTCACTCATCTGAAAGCTCCACTTGTACACGCGGGTGGAACGGCCGTGCTGCTGCTGGTCCGAGTCCGCGGGCCGGTGGTATCTGTGGCCACTAGGGGGGGCCCTGACAGCTGGCTTCAGGGCGGCTGCAGCAGGCTTGGAGGCTGGGGATTTGGAAGCGCTGTCGCCGGGGGCCTGGTCTTCACTGTCACTGCTGTGTGCTGGGGCGGGGGGCGGGGGCGTAGACAGCTATTTATCTTTTTAAGACATATTATTGAGATGTAAAGATCGATTTAATAATTAGGAGACAGAGAGCGGATAAAGGGTTGATCAATCTGTTTGGAAACACTCTACTCCTCCTTTCATCCTTAAAGCAGGGGGTACCTGCTTTCCGGCTCTTTTTGGGTTGCACACCCGCGCTCCTATGACTCCGCTTGGATTTCTTGGGAGCAGTGCCTGCTGGCGCCTCCCGCAGGCGCTTGTGGGTCACTGCAGCTATGACGGGGGAGGTAGGTGGTGAGAGAGGGAGAGAAGAAAAGAAAAAAAAAACATAAAATAGCTTTTTTGATTGCAGATTTATGCTATTACAAATACACACAAGTCATTATATTACACTGTATACACAGTGCTCACAGAAAGTCCAAGGATGCTTGTTTAATTCAGTAAAAATAATGCATATTTATTGGTTTTATAACAAAATCATTGCTTGACTCTTTTGTTTACAAAAATATGCCACATTAGAAGCAATCAGTAGTTTTAAGGAAAACATTGATTTCAAGTAGTATTAAATTGAAACCTCAATTATAGTTTTAAAAGAGTAACACCTTTGCAATAACATAAAATGCCAACATTCGTGTTTAGTATCCTTTTGGGAGCTAATGACTACAATTGCAATTAATAGCAAAATGAGTCAGTCAAAAAATTAAAAAAAAGAAAATGTCCATGCAGAAGATATGTGCACTGCATGTCAATGGACTTTTGTTATTAAACCAATAAACACTGTTACAGAATTAAGTGTTTCACAATTTTCTGTGAACACTGTACCTACCATGGAAAGCTAACAGCTAAAACAATAATGATCACAGAGCCGTTATCACTAAGCACCCACAGGCCCCCTAACCATCTGCCCGCCAGATCACCTGACCCACATGATTACCTGACCCACCTGACTACCTGATCACCTGATCACCTGACCCACCTGACTACCTGATCACCTGACCCACATGATTACCTGACCCACCTGACTACCTGATCACCTGATCACCTGACCCACCTGACTACCTGATCACCTGACCACCTGACCCACCTGATCACCTGACCCACCTGACTACCTGACCACCTGATCACCTGACCCACCTGACTACCTGATCACCTGACCCACCTGACTACCTGACCCACCTGACTACCTGATCACCTGACCCACCTGACTACCTGACCCACCTGACTACCTGATCACCTGATCACCTGACCCACCTGACTACCTGATCACCTGACCCACATGATTACCTGACCCACCTGACTACCTGATCACCTGATCACCTGACCCACCTGACTACCTGATCACCTGACCACCTGATCACCTGACCCACATGACTACCTGATCACCTGACCCACCTGACTACCTGATCACCTGACCACCTGCCTCTAGCTCACCCACCTCTGGCCACCTGCTCACTCTCCAGCTGCCCGCTGCTGCTCAGGGCCAGGCTGCAGTTACTGCTGCTCGAGGAGGAAGAGGAGGAGGAAGAGGAGGCGGTGGAGGAGAGGCCCACGTCGAAAGCCCCCGGAGGGGAGCTGGCCCTTTCCTCCTGGGCCAGCTCTGGCACCTCCCCCGCAAGGCTCTCCACCTCCACCGTACTGCTATCTGTCTCGCTGCGGCCGCCACTACTCTCCTCAGGGGCGGGGCCAGAGGGGGAGGGCGGGGCAGGGGGAGGGGGCAATGGTGGGGGAGGGGGCAAGGCCTGGGGAGGGGAGGGGCACGGCGGGGAGGCGGGGGTCTCTGGCTGTGTGGGGGGGTCCACATCAGCAGTGCCCGAGACCTCATGGGGAGACTCAGGTGTGGTGGGCGGTGTGTTCAGCACTGAGTTGCTGCCACTGCCAGGGAACTCGCAGGGCTTCTCGGGCTCTGGCTCATCCGGGGCCACAGCAGCATCCGCCTCCATGTCCTCCAGCCCCGGCTCGGCTCCGGGCTCCTCGCAGCCCAGCATGGCTGGCGCCGGTGAGCCTGCGGCCTCAGTGTCCGAGTCTGAGAACAGCTCCTTCAGTGTCTTCTTGGGCCACTGTTCCTGGATGCTGGACCAGACGTCCTTGTGACCTTTGGGCCGTGTGCCGCCCGTCAGTCTTTCCTCTGCAGTCACACTCAGTTTGGGTCTCTTCTCTGACGCCTCCCAGAAGCCCGTGGGCCGCGCTGCCTTTGCCTTCTCCTTTAGCCCATTTTTCCGCTTGTCATGGGGCCGTTTGCTTCTGGTCTGATGCTGCTCCCCAGTCTCTCGCGACTCCCTGGGGCCATCCTCCTCATCCTCATCCTCCGAACTGCTGCTGGATGTGAGGCTCCCCTCTTTGCGAGGAACTGCGCTTCTGTCCTCCGGCCTCTTGGGGGAGCTGCTGAGTGGCCAGTCCGCGTTTCTGCAGGCGCCGGCAGCCCTGGGCTTACTTTTACATGCCCCTTTTACCCGCTCACCTTGGCCCTCTGCCCTCCTCTTTCGGGCGCCCAACTCCCCCACAGTCTCCGGCTCACTCTTGTGCCTGCCGCTCTCAGCACAGTCCTGGCAGCCCAAAGTCTGCTCTCTCTCCACCATAGAGTTCTGGCCGCCCTCTAGTGGGGGCCCTCCCTCCCAGCGCTCTCCCACACACAGCCCCTCATCAGGGGCCCCCGGACTCTCATCTTCTTCATTCTCACAGTCGTCGTACTCGTGTTCACTCTCCTCCTCAGTTGAGCTTTCGGATGCTGAAGCCAAAAGAAAGAAGCATCATCTGTGAGGAGGTTGCCCTCTATAGGCCAGCGCTGGTCATTACAGGACTCTAGAATACAGCAGCATGCAATGAACTTAAATGACCCTCGCCATTAACAATTCAGCTTTCACACATTTATCTGATCTCTGATCTCCTTTAACGGACACAGTTACCTCGCAGGCCGTTGAGGATGGACGTGATCTCCACGGGCTTAGACAGAGGCTGCTCCAGAGATTTGCCATCATGAGGGGGGGGCTTGGCCAAGCGGTGGGGCCGGCTGTTCACCAGGGGAGGGGCCTCTTCCCCATCCAGCAGTCTGTCGGTCTTCTCTTTCTCTCTTTCCGTTTTGTTCTGTCAATTAAGCATACAATTTAAAAATAAAACACCAAATGCTAAGGCTGGTAGCTCAGGAAGACACTGAGAAATACCATGGCACTATATTCAGATCATCCATCTTGCAGTGAACTATTCTGGCTGGGGAGGCCTGGAGCCTGTCCCCAGGCTGAAGTGGACAGATGTCACGTGGGAGCGTGGGCCATTTAGAGACACCAATTAGCCTGAATGCATGTCTTTGGACTGTGGGAGGAAACCAGAGCAACTGGAGAAACCCCGGGCAACCCGGGGAGACCGTGCAGCAGCACAGCCCACAGGGGCCAGCCCTAAACTTGCATAAATTAATTTCAGGGGTGTGGCTACAGGTGGACAGGGGGAGGAGACAAACCAAATTTCATTAAATCATTAGTGATTTAACAGAATCATCCCAGAACCCCTCCCCCATAAGAGAAAATATACATTTTAAGACCACTCCCCCTCGGCCCAGTTAACAGCTTTGACCCACTGAGTGTAATCTTGTATTATACGTGGCTGTCCCCGTTATTCTCCATGGAGAAGTAGCTGCTATTATAAATAGGGTAGGAGACTCCTTGTTGCATTTTCACGTCATGGTCCAATTGCCCACCAGGGGGCCCCCCAAACCCTCTGACTCCCGCCCAGTGGTAGCCACCCAATACACCCATATACCCACCTCAGGATGGCTTCCTGGTAATGCTACTGATTGAAATTGTTTCATAAATGGAAATAAATTTATTTCCAAAGCACAGTATTACAACATCAGATGACGTGCTGTTTAAAATGACCAGCCTCACTTACTACATAACTGTTTCTCCAGCAAAACACTGAACAGAAAGCCTTTCTGGAACATTCCGCTTGCGTGCCGACACCCACCCTTTGATTTTTACCGAGGGGCCCCGCTCTTATCAGGCCCCCCCGTGGCACCTACCTTTATTTTCTTGCGGTACTTCACTTTCTTCACGTTCTTGTTGGACGGCCGCACAATCTTGTCCGCTTTCACCCACTCATCATACCTGAGCGAGAAACAGAGGCCAGGATAAACAGTGCCGTCGGCCCCACGGGATGCGGAACCACGGCGGTGGGGAACGGAGACAGCGGCACGGAACAATTCAGGTTACCGGACGAGGAAACTCAGCTAACGTGGGCGATCGGGGAGAGGGGATGGCAGTCAGTTAACCAGAAAAACAAAAATGACGATCATCTCTGTGAGGGAGGCAGCCTCTCTGTTAGTGTGACAGCCTCTCTGTGATGGAGGCAGCCTCTCTGTGATGGAGGCAGGCTTGTTACTCATGAACAAGGCGGCTGCACCATCTATACAGCAAGCGCTTCCGACCGAGCGCCACAGACAGTGAGATGCTGGCGTCTGATTTTCAGCACGGATGACGACTAATGGGGAGATATCCCTAACCTCCGTCTCATTAAGGCTGCCACTCCTCTCTCACCGCTGAGACTTGTGGGAGCGCTGAGGGGCATCTATCCCGCTAAGCTGGAGAAGCACATGTCCGGTTACCGAAATGGTTCAGATTTACTTTTTCGGTCATTTGCTCACAGCTGCCACCAGGTGGCGATAGGCACACCAAGTGATTTGAGGGAATATCAAACCGGGACAAAGCCACGACCTCACAGCACAGCGGTATGTAGGAGGAAAGGTCAGATCCCAGCCTCACCTGACGTTCCAGCCGCAGTAGTGCACCAGGTAGAGCACCTCTCCCCCTTCCAGGTCCGACTCTTTCACAGTGGCATCGTATGTCTTCAGATTGCGGCCCCGACCATACCTCACCTGCACCTTCATCCCTGGGGGGTAACACTCAAACTCCTCCCCTTCCCCCTCCTGGCTGCTGTCATCCCTAGAACAGACAGCGAACCACAGCTCAGACCATCATGGCCTGTGGGCTGCCACCAGCTAGTAAGAATGTAGCCACTCGACGGCGCTATCAGGGACAACCACAGTTTCAGAAACGGAACATTTTTAGAAACGGCTTCAGTGATATTTAACCTACAGAACGAGGCCTCGGCCCCCTCAGCATGTGTCTTGGACGCGCGGCTAACTGCCTCCTCCAGCAGGGGGCAGGCTGCAGCTGTGGCAGGTGTGGGCGGAGGCATTGGAGATGCCAAGGGGAGGGCTGGCCAATTAGCAGCCTCCACGGGGCTTCAGAAGCGCCCGCCGCATGGCAGAACTCAGAAAAACACGCGGGGTCTCATTTAGGAATGCTCAAACACCAAGCGCCCTGTGCTGCAAGCCATGCCCCCCAATGCCAGCTCCGCCCCCAAAGACGGCTCCCCCCTGGATCCCGACACACGGGGCCACGTCATCATAATGACTCCTCACAAGGGCCGTGATGCTCCAACACCCCACAGGAAACCCCTCCTTAAACAACAGACTATTGTCAGAATTTAGACTAGACCGCTGTCCGTCCCTTTGAGGACCCCGAGCCCAAGCTGTCCGCACCGATGCCTGTGGGCCTGCCTGAACGCACCAGAGTGACGTCACTCCCAACAAACTGCAAAGACGCGCAGTAGCGCAGGTGCTATCTCCATCCACAGCGCGGTGACCTCATCTGCCCAGTGCGGCAGACGGCACGCACTGTTCCCACAACCGGGGGG